CAGACTGGAAGTCCTTGGCTTGGTGTTTAGGGAGTTTTCTGTGAGTGAGAAGAGGCCCTTTCACTTAGCATAATGCTCTCCAGTTCCATCCATGCTGACAACTGTAATCGAATAATAATAACATCATTTAAAAAAAATAAAATAAAGTAAAAATAAGAAGTTTGGAGGCCAACAAAAAAAAGAGAGAGAAGCCCTGGCTGGCGTAGCTCAGTGGATTGAGCGCAGGCTGCGAACCAAAGTGTCACAGGTTCGATTCCCAGCCAGGGCACATGCCTGGGTTGCAGGCCATGACCCCCAGCAACTGCACATTGATGTTTCTCTCTCTCTCTCTTTCTCCTTCCCTTCCCTCTCTAAAAAAAAAAAATAAATAGAATCTTTAAAAAAAAGAGGAAAAAAAGAGAAAGAGAGAGAGCGAGCGAGCAGAGAATGCCTCACGATGAACCTGCAGGGCCTCCTATCCCTGGGGAGAGGCTGGACTTCGTGCCCTTAGGGCACTTCCTGTCTGAGAGTCTGTGATCGTGCCCCAAAGTAAAGATGACTCACTGATATAGGACACCTGTCACCATTACTAACGGTACTCAGAGTGACAGATCCTCAGTTCTGATTTCCCAGGCTCATAAGGCCCCGCCTCTTCCTGTCCTGATTGGTTCTTCCTTCTCTCGTCTTGGTTTGGATTCTTACCTCCTCCTCTCCCCAGGTCAGCTCAGGGTCTCATTTCCTCCAATGTCAAGTGGGGACCATACCCACTGCCTTCATAGGGTATCTGCATGTGAACACACCGCACGAGGGTGGGGCCAGGGCTTCCTGTCCCGGCTCGCTGAACACATCTACCTACTCCTGCATCACCTGCACAGATTCCAAAGAGGACGCTCCGGAACTGCTGCAGGAGGCCGAGATAAGCATCATTCACTATAAGGAATGTAATGAAATTTTAAAGAAACAGTTACAGACGTCGACGGACATACTGAAGAAAGGGGTCATCTGTGCATACAGCGACCTAGGAAAGGACTCCTGCCAGGTCAGTTCCTGGCCCTTTGCTGCCTCGGAATTTTGGTTGTCCCCGAAAAGCTTCTCCGTCCACAGGCAGAAGCGCCTGCATCACCTGCCAGCCCCTCCCTTCACCCTTCATTCAAATTAAGGGGACTCAGTGGGGCCCGTTTTCAGGAGGGAGGAGCCGATGTTGCCTGGAGGGGACAGGGTGGAGGGGAGGTTCAGGCGGGAAACACCGGTGATGGAGTCACATGCTTTGAACCCCGCCTTTGTGGTTAGCAATGTACCGAATGTACCGAGAGAACATTATTCATTATTGTTATCACAGAATGCGTACATTTTCTCTGCTTATAGTCAATATTTTCTGTGCAGTTTTTTAAAGAGGTTTTATTTATTTTTTAGAGAAGGGAAGGGAGGGAGAAAGAGAGGGAGAGAAACATCCATGTGTGGTTGCCTCTCGTGTGCCCCCTACTGGGGACCCGGCCCACAGCCTGGGCATGTTGCCCTGACTGGGAATCGAACCGGCGACCCTTTGATTCACAGGCTGGCGCTCAATCCACTGAGCCACACCAGCCAGGGCTGTGCAGCTTTTTGAGTATACATACAAATTTTGTTTGTTAAAAAATGTCAACTTTTTAAAACATTTTTTTTTTCAACTTTTAAATCTTTCTCAGAAGCCTGGGCCAGGTGGGTGCCTGGGGAAGGCCTGCGCATGCCCGTCTGCCCGGGGCCTCGCAGGACACTCAGCCTGTTCTGGTTGTCGGTCCTCTTCCACTGCTCCGTGTCTTTCTCTTTCTCCAGGGAGACTCCGGGGGCCCCCTGGTCTGTGAATTCAAAGACTCGTGGGTCCAGGTGGGGATCGTGAGCTGGGGCTTCGGCTGTGGTCGCAAGAAATACCCTGGAGTTTACACAGACGTTAGTTTCTACAAGGACTGGGTCATTCATCAGATGAGTCCGGCTTTTGCTCTTCACTCAGCAGGACTCCTCATCCTGCCCCTGTGTCTGGGGCTGCCCCTGGGCCTCCTGGCGACCCCGTGATCACCCATCACTGCCACTCGCTCCCCTCCTGTTTCCCAGGCTCCTCCGGGGCCTCTCCTCCCGCTCCTCAGCGCCCTCCCCTCACTTCCCTGTTGGGACCCACTGACCCTGCGGAGAGCCACACAACAGAGAGCAGGGGCAAGACTGGGGTCCTGAAAGCGTCCCTGCCTGGTCCCCAGGCCCCTGCCTCCGCCCCGCCCCCACCCTGCCAGGAGGGAGGGGTGAACCCACCCAGCTCCGGGGCCAGCTGACCTGCCAGGCAGAGCAGGCGCTGCAAGGAGTCTCGGAGCACGTCTGCCGAGGAAGAGACGTCATCCACGGTGGACACCTTAGACCTGACACTTTGTCCAGCCTGTCGGCTTGCTGACTGTCCAGAGGGAGTGAAGGAGGTGTCACCCTGTCCCTGCTGTGCTGTGGTTTCTGCAGGACTCGGGTGTCTGGGGTGGGGGGAAGCTCCCTGCACCCCAGTGCAGATCCATCTGTGAGTGGCCAGGCTCTGCCACGCCAGCCTTTCTGGGTTAGCCCCTTCCCCGGAACCCCGTTCCTCAGTGTCCTGGCGGCCACATGTAGGCTCAGCCCGAGTTGTGTTGAGGCGTGAAGGAGCGCGGAGATTTCTGATGTCAGTTGAATAAATGTTTGGAGACTGGCTTGGCTGTTCTGAAGCTCTGCTGCCCTGGACGTGGTGGGGTTGCACATAACGTTGCCTGTGGTGGGCCGTTTTCCATGTAGCATAGGAACCGTATAGGGTTCTTTTTAAGCCCCAGGAGTGTCCAACCTTTTGGTGTCTCTGCACCACACTGGAAGAAGAATTGTCATCTTGGGTCACACATTAAATAAATGGCAAGACATAATCATCACACAAAAACATCTCATAATGTTTTAAGTAAAGGTACGACTTCGTACTGGGTGCATTCACAGCCAGCCTGGGCTGCGTGTGGCCCGTGGGCCACGGGTTGGACACCCACGATGAGAGGGAGCAGTGAGTCCCTGGCAGCTCAGATGTGAGTCCCAGGGACGGTTTCAGGCAGCTGGGCCACGCTCCCTGTGCCCCTGTGGTCGTCATCCGTGGGTCTGCAGGGGGCTTTGTAGCCTGATTTAACAGCTTCTGCAGCTCAGAATAGAGCATCCAGAGAAACTGGACCTGGGGTAAAGGGCAACGCTGGGGCATGAGGAATATTCTTTCTTTTTTTTTTAGAATTTTTTTTTTTTTAAGATTTTATTTATTTTTAGAGAGGGAAGGGAGGGAGATAGAGATAGAGAGAGAGAAACATCAATGTGCGGTTGCTGGGGGTTATGGCCTGCAACCCAGGAATGTACCCTAGCTGGGAATCGAACCTGGGACACTTTGGTTCCCAGCCCGCGCTCAATCCACTGAGCTACGCCAGCCAGGGCTCAGGAATATTCTTTCTTTCCCACTGCTTCTACTTTCTTCTCACCCCCGACTTTGTTACCAAGATCAGCATTCATTCCCCTGGGGAGCCGGGCAAGAGAGGCACTGTGGTAGGATGCGGTTCTTCATCCTCATCCCAGGCCCAGGGTCCCAGAGTCTCTCTGTCTAGCTGCTGATCAACTCCCCCCCGCCCCCCCAATCATCAGTCCCGTGCTCTCCCAGGGGGTCAAGGTTTCCCCCAGATATCTGGGGGCTTCAGAGGGTAGTCCGTGTCAGCCCCACCTGTTGCCCGAGGAAGGCTGGGGTCGAGAGACCGAGAGCTTGCATCGAACCCAGTCTCTTAATGTGCATCCAACCAGCTGCTTGAAGAAGCCGCTGAATATTCATGGGTTAAAAAAGTCAATTCTTTTTTTTTATTATTTTTTAAAGATTTTATTTATTTATTTTTAGAGAGGGAAGGGAGGGAGAAAGAGAGAGAGAGAGAGACATCAATGTGCGGCTGCTGGGGGTTATGGCCTGCAACCCAGGCATGTACCCTGACTGGGAATAGAACCTGCGACACTTTGGTTTGCAGCCCGCACTCAGTCCACTGAGCGACGCCAGCCAGGGCTTACAAAGTCAATTCTTGTTCCTATAACTTGGTCCGCAGGTAGCTTTGCTCTTTCTTATGGCTCCACTGAGCCCCGTGTGCATGCTTTGCCTGCATCGGCAGTCCCTGGAGGGCTCGTTAAAATGCAGACCACCAGTTCCACTCCCAGAGTGTCCAGTCCCGGAGGTGTGCGTGGGACCTGAGAGGGTTCACGTCTGACGAGTTGCCAAGTGTTACTGCCGCTGCTGCTGCTCCTCCAAGGACAATGCTCTGAGAACCACTGCCCTGCAGTCACACGGCACAGAAGGCCACCTCCTCTCGGCCATCTCGGTGTAGAAGTGGCACACACCACCTGCATGCACCTCCTCCTGGTGGGAATGCACACGACCCCCTTAGATGCCAGGCTGGGGAAAGTGGTCCCCAGAGCTGGACCCTTCACGCTGGACAAGAGGCACAGGACAGGAATCTCCGTGGTCACCTCCCAACCCCTGCCTCACCAGCGGATTCCAAGACCTCGTCCCTTCACAGATCACCCTGTGAAAGCCCAAGGCCTTCGTGTCTTTAAGTTGCACCCTCTGTTCGGTGGGAGAGGAGGAATATTGCCCCCCGCCCCCACCAAGACTCTGCCCCAATCTTAGGTCCAGCTCAAATGGTGTTTTTTCAAACACATCGTCCCTGACGCCCTAGCCTTACTGTTCTCTTGTGCTTCCCACAGATTTCCAGATTTTCAAATCAGTATAAACTGTAAAACTCCAGAGCATCAAGGGTGCGGTCAGAGCCTGGGTGCCGAGGCACCATCACCGGCCCAGGGATTTCCGTGTGCCCTCACTGTCTAGGTTCTGGGGGCACTGTCACCAGTTTAAGGCGCTTGGGGTGCTTTCACGGGGAGCGGAGCCAGGGAGGCACTCCCAGATCCAGGGCTCTGAGGTCAATCAACTTCCAGGAACCAGCGTAAGGAGGGGGCGCAGGGCAGAGTTCACGGCCCCTGCAGGGCTCCAGGGCGCCGTCGCACGTCGTCATTATACACGGCGGGCCAGTCGGGCGGGCGGTCTCGCGCCGGGAGACCCGTAGGTGACGTGCTGGAGCCGCCATCCTGCGCTAGTGGCTAGTGGCGCCCTCACGCATCCAAGCGCCTTCGCGTCTTTGAGGTTGCCGGGTGGCGCCTCCTGGGCCTCATGGCGTCCTCGCTGTGCGGGCCTGGAGGCCTGACCCGCAGCCTCTTCCTGCTGCTGCTGCTGCTGCTGCTGCCGCTGCTGAACTTGGGTGAGGCCAGAGCAGCTGTTTCCCTCCTTCTTCCCCAAGCCTCCGCCCCCCTCCCTCCCCTCCCCACTCCACTCTCTCCTCCGCCCCCCCTCCCCTCCCCCCCCGCAGTGGAGGCGGGAACAGGGGCCGACCTACCCCAGAGTCCTCTCTCCTCTACCATCGCTGGAAGATTCCAGGAACGCCGAGCTCCTGCCCTCTCTAGCCTCCTCCCTCAGCCCCGTGGCCCCCCGGGGACCCCTGATTTTTCTTCGAGCCAGTCAGCCACCTCTTCCGCTATCAGCATGGGCACCGGGGCTAAGACCCCAACCACCTCCTCACAGCATCCTGGGCCCCTCGGATGCTACCCCTCCTCCCCAGACTAGATCTTCTAGGCAGCTGGGCTCCCCTGCAGACCCCACTCGGGCCCGCGGTCTGGCCCGCACGGGCTCGTGGTGTCCATCTACTTAAGGACCATTCCACAGTGCATCTCCTACCGAGCCCCTCCGTTCCAGCCCGGTGCGCCTCACCAGCGCAGCCTGGTTCACCAGTGGACGCAGGCCTTCGGTCGCTGTCTCCCCAATACCCGCCTGCCCCCAGGGGCCCCTGACTACTCAACCCCACCCTCACCCGTTTCTTTAGGAGCCAGAGACCAGGCTCCTGCTCAAGGTGGGCCCTCCTGCGCATGCTCCCTCCATCTGCGGCGCTTACCGACCTTTATCGGCTCCCTTGGTGTTTGCTCTGTGTGTCCCCTGTCTCTCTCCCTCACTGCGGGAGTTCTCGCCGTTACAGTGTTCGCTTCGTGCTTCCTCCCGGTGCCTCCTCACCGGATCCTCAGCCCCATTCCTGGCAGGCGCCTTGTCTTACTGTCCCGACCTTTCTAGGACTTCCTCCTGGGCGAGGTGAAACCGATTCAGAAGGAGGTGTACTGAAAACAGGAGGGAGGGAAAGGAGGGAGGGGGGGAGCTCTGACACCAGGGGAGCCCCGTGCACCAGGGGAGCCCCACGAACAGCCAGTTCCAGCTGCTCTGGGGCCGGGCTGGCACAGCGCTGGGTCCCTCCGGGCAGGCGCAGAGTGGGTCTCTCTGTTCTCCAGGTTCCTGCTGTGGACTGGCATGGACGGGCGCAGGTGCAGACACCTCGGTTTGGGGAGGGCCTGAAGAGAAAGTCTAATTTTAATTTCTCATTTGCAGTCTCCATTCAATATTATTCTGTATTTGTTTCAGACGTGGTTAGACAATCCGGTCCTTTTCAGAGTGGTTCCCCCGCCCCCAGTATGTCCAGTGCCCACCTGGCCCTAGAGCTAGTTATCACGATATTATTGGCTGTCTTCCCTATGCCGCGCTTCACATCACTGTGACTATTCTGTAGCTGCCAATTTTTACTTCTTAATCCCATCATCTTTTTCACCAAAGAGAAACTCGAATCTTTTCTAGGAGAGGCTCAAAAAGTAACGGAAGGAACTTGCCGTCATCCACCTAAGAGAGGCTCCGCCTGTCTCGGTTCTCCTCTCCCGCAGGGTAACCCCCCTGCCCCCCTGTGCCCTCCCAGCTGCCGAGCTCTGTGCCTCCCTGACGCACTGGTGCTCCCTCCTGTGACGTACTGGGGCTCCCTCCTCATTGCTCCCCGGGCGAGCTCACATGCCCTGGGCGGTGGGTGAGCTGCCGTTGACACGATGCTGCCCCATGGGTCTGGATGTGCATCCACTACCGGGCATCACCCAGACAACCTAGAAGCATCTCAGCTGCTTGGGAGACCCTCATCTCCCTACAGACTGGTTTTCTCACTCTGTTCTCTGACTCGGTGGATAGCAGCCACTTGTCTCTAAGGTCGGAAACAGGGAGGCGGGGCCTGGCCTGTGTGGCTCGGTTAGTTGGTTAGTTAGAGCACCGTCCTAGGACCAAAGGATTGTGGGTGTGATTCCTGGTCAGGCACATTCCTAGGTTGTGGGTTCTGTCTTTGGTCCAGGCGCATCCGGGAGGCAATCAATCGATGCTTCTCTCTTGCATGGATGTTTCTCCCTCTCCCTTCCTTTCTCTCTAAAAGCAATGGAAACAGGTCCTTGGGTGAGGGTTAAAAGAAAATGGGGAGGAGGGACACCCTCGGCTTAGCTGTCTCCCCAAGCCCCACCGCCAGCTCGCTGTGTCTGGTCTCCCTGCCGCTTCTCGTGCAGACCTCCGAGTTTCTCGCCTGGTGTCTGCAGAGCCTCCTGTGGGATCTCCCCGTCCTCAGTCTTGTCACCTTCCTGTCTATTCTCCTTGCTGCCTTCACGACACGAGCCTGACCGTGTCCCCTGTCCCCTGGCCGCCCCTCTCCCTGACTCTGCTGTCCTGGCTTCATTCCTCGCCATCACAGGCCTTGCCCTTGATCCTGCAAGCCTCAGGCAGACGCCGAGGTGTTTCTTTTGTAAGGAATGTCACTGTCACATCTCGTTTTTGTTGTGCCGTCTCACCTTGTAGATCTGGCGCAATAACCCCTATTTCCACTGTGTCTTCTTTGCTCCCCTGACCCCTGTGGCCTCGTCCCTGCACTGATCTCATGCCGGTGATTGCGTTGGCTTCGGTGTCCCCTGCTGGCCCGCACGTTCCTCCAGGGCACACACAGCATGCATCTGCCCGGTACCTCTGTCCTCGCCAGCTCTGGGCTCCAGGCTGGGCACGGAGCTGGAGATTAGAAAGTATTCGGTGAATGATGCCCTGGCTGGTGTGGCTCAGTGGATTGAGCGCCAGCCTTTGAACCAAAGGGTCACAGGTTCAATTCCCAGTCAGGGCACAGGCCTGGGTTGCAGACCAGGTCCCCAGTAGGGGTGTGCAAGAGGCAACCGCACATTAATGTTTCTCTCCCTCTCTTTCTCCCTCCCATCCCTCTCTCTAAAAATAAATAAATAAATTTTAAAAAATTAAAAAAGAAAACATTTGGTGAATGAATAAATGAGCTAATCGATGACAGTGCACCTCTTCACTGTCATCCTGTTGTGACCTCTCGCTTCATCCTGGTCCCCCTTTTCTCCTCCAGGTTACGAAGAAGAGGACGCCAAGCCAGGTGGGTAGGGTGAGTCCCTGCTGCAGGTCCCCTCGGTTCCTGGGAGGGTGTGCTCTGAAGAGGGTCCCCTGGGTGGTGGTGCTCCTGGGTCTGCAGGTAGCAGGGGTTTCATGTAAAGCGTCTGCTTTCTGAAGGACAGCCCGTGGCTGCCAGGATGTGCAGACCCGGCAGCGTGGGGGAGAGGGCAGCTGGGCCGCCCGTGGGATGTGCAGCCTCTTTGAACTCAGTCCAGGCTGTGTCCCATCAGGGGGTCTGACCCTTTTCTGCACAGAGACCTTTGGGCTCCAAACTGTTTCTTTGCAAACGGAGCACCTGCAGAGCCCGGCACTTCTGGGTCTTCCTGTCTTTATCCTTAGACCGCAAGGGTGGAGGGTGGCTTTGTGTTGCTTGTTCAGGGGCCTCCATGGTCACGTGGTCACGGGTGCACCCTGATTTGCTGTGAATTGTCTAAGTTGGTCCTCCCTGCTTATGTCCCCACCCCACCGCCAGTCCCTCTCTTTGCCCTCTCTCCAGCCTTTCTCACATGCGCAGTGAGTCTCTTTCTCTTGGTATGTTTTTGTAAAAATACCACAGTTTTGTGGGCATGTGTTTCTAACAGACACAGATGGCGTGTGCTCTGGGTCTCTTTCTGTTTCCCACTCTTTTCATTCAGCCCCGTTTAAAAAATAAAAACGGTTTATTTGGCAATAATTTTAAGCTCACAAAACACTGAAAATACAAACAGTACAAAGAACACACATACACAAGACATTTTTTCAGGATCAGTTACGGGGAACCTACAACATGGTTCTCTCTCTCTAAATACGTTGGTATTTTCTGAGAATATTCTCTCAAGTAGCCACAGTGCACTGAGCAACTTCAGAAAGTGGCATTGGTGCCACACTTTGGTTTGCTGTGCGAATTTCAGCATGGTCCGCCCCCACACGCCCACCAGCAGGTTGTGGGGGTGTGTGTTGCTGCGGGTCTGCCGACCTTTGATCCAGTCCACATGTGCCCTTTTCTGCTAGTCTAATAGGTTTTAAAAAAAAGGACTTCTTGATTTAATGGACATTTTTCTCACTGCTGATGAGTGTGAGCACGTCTCAATGTGCCATTATTGGCCTACCGAGTTTCTTCCTGCAATAGATTGCTGGTCTTTATGTTTTTCATTTCGTCTGTTCTTTTTCCTTGTCGATTTTCATGTATATTCCTAATGACAGTCTCGTGCTGATTTTGGTCGTCGCAAATGCTGCCTTCTCACCTGTCACCTGTCTGCTGACCTCGTTCGTGGGGTCAGAAAGCCTTTATTCTGTGTCACCCTCAGTTGAATGCTTTATGGTGTGTGCTGCGAGGTTTTGTTTCAGGAGTCCTCTCCCTGCCCCATGCGGCGTGGGCTGCTGTGAACTCTCCAGTTTGGCCGATTGTGATGAGGCCTTCCAGTGCCAGTAGAGAGGAGGAATCCAGTCTTGCTTTTCTTATTTCTTCTAGAGTGAGCCGATTTCCTGGGACCATATCCTCGGGGAGCCATCCTCCACCCACCAATGGCGGCGACTCCTATCTTTATAATGAGTCCCTGTGGTCCATAGAACAATCTCTCACGCTCCCTATTCTCTTCCTTTGGCGCATTAGTCTGTCCTGGTCAGTGCCACGCTGTTTTTGCAAGCATGGCTCTGATGGATGTCTTAATAGCTCCTAGGAGAAGTGTCCCTTCTTGGATCTATTTTTTCAAAGTCTGAGCTGCTCAGGAAACCTTGCTTTTCTATTTCCATTTTCGAATAAGCTTATCCAATTTCTTAACAATTCTAACTTGGAAAGTGACTTTATAGAATTGATTTGGGGAAAATTGTCACCAGTGAAGGGGGTCTTGCCCTTTCCCCCAAGATAGAAATCAAGAGCAGAGATGAAAACAATTTGAAAGGAGGTTTACCGGAAACAAGGGGAAGGGAAGAAGGGCGGGAACTCCTTGCACCAAGGGCCCCCCCCGCCCTCCAACAGGGAGCACGGCTCCGGAACCGGAATCGCTGCTGGGGTTGGGCTGACCCAGCGCTGCGTTTCTTCACGCAGGCGCACAGCGGGCCTCTTTGTTCTCCAGGCTCCCAGCATGGTTCCCAGTGTGCGCCTGCGCAGACCGGCGAAGGCGCAGGCACCCTGGTTTGGCGAGGGCCTGCCGAGAAACTAATCTTATCTAGGAGAGGCTTAAAGGGTAACTGAAGAACATCCCCATCCATCTTAAGAGAGGCTCAGCTTGTCTCAATATTACATCTGAAATATTTAGTTGTTCTGTTTAAGAGCAATGGATGTCTCTGCATTTATGCCAGTCGTTTTCAGAGCCTTTTATTCGAGTTATAAACGTGTTGCCGCAGAAATATCACGTTGTGTTAGGTGAGTTAATTCCTTGGTGCTTTGTACATCTTTGCTATTGAAAATGTTTCCCGATTTTGAATATTTTTTTCTGTTGGTTGTGCCGGGTTAAGGAAATATTACTGACTTGAAAAGCACATTGTGGAAGTATTATATATATATATATATATAATATATGTATATATATAATATATACACACATATATAATATATAATATATATCATATCATATCATATCATATTATTATATAATTATATATTATATATAATTATATATAATTATATATTATTACATTACATTACATTATATTATATTATTATAATATATATTATATAATATATATGTATATACATATATATACACATACACACACACACACAAAAGCGCACGCGGTGTAAGTGTCCAGCTCAAGAAGTAGTCACACAGCGCACACACCTGTGCCCTGGGCGGCCATGTGAGCGGAGCAGGAGCAGCACCCAGAGGCCCCCGGCGCCCTCCCCGCAAGGAGTCCCATTGTTCCCGGCGTCCGGCGTGTAAGCAGGTTCTTTCCGCCTCAGGGTTACGTGATGTCTGAGGCAGCTTTGTGGCACATAACTTTTATCAAGTTAGTGACTTCTTTTCTCTTCCTAGTTTGCTAGGTAAGAGGTTGGGGTGTGTGTGTGTGTGTTTAGTTGTAAATACGTGTTGAACTTTTCCAGTGCCCTTTTCTGTGTGTATTGAGGAAAGCCCAGGATCTTTCTGCAGAGAATCCACTGAGAGCTCCCCCACTGCGGGTCCCCCCTTGCACTCCCGGGACAATCTCTGCACTATCATAGTGCATGATTTTATAAAAATGTGATGTTGGTTAGTATTTTATTTACAATACGTGCATCTGCATCCATTCATGGAGTCGTACGACTTGACTGTTGGAACCGCGTGCACACGGAGAGTGTGAGCTGTGGGGGTGGGCGGGGCCCGGGGCCCGGGCTGGGTTCTTTCTTGAATGGTCTGGGTAGGATCACAGTCTGGAGCTTGTCTTCTCTGGAGCTTGTCTTCGGTCTGAGCAGCGCGGGCACCTGAGCGATGCAGCAGCATCAGAGCTGTTCAGGAGTGTGGCCTGAGAGCTCGCACTAGACGCAAGAAAAGGCGTTTCTCATCCTGGGGCTTCTCTGCGTCTCGTCTGTTTTGAGGTTCCGTGCTGATTGTGCCTGGTGTATCTCTTTTCCTTCCCTCCTTTGATGTCTCTGTCTTGATGCATCTTGTCTCCTCCACTGTCATTTTCTGCCGAGCTCAGTGCCTTTGGCAGAAGGCCCCTGCCCTTCTCCCCCATCACTGACCTGCGAACAGGCCCCAGTTCACAGCCGCGTGCAGGCTGCCCCAGGGGCACCTTGGTCTCGTCATTCTCATCCTCCTGTGCGGTCACTATGTCTCCTTGGTGCGCTTGTCCCTGAAGCTTGTGGCAAACCCTGGTGGTCGAAGGACTTGGCCGTGACCCGCCATTGGCCCTGGGAAGCGAGTCTCCGGCTGGAAAGTCAGCACGTGTGTGGAGGGGCCCTCATTGGCCGCGAGTGGGTGGTGACTGCAGCCCACTGCATCCAAGGGTGAGTGGGGCCCGAGTCTCCAGGGCCCGGGACCCAGGGCTGCGACGGGCCCCGCCCAGCTTCCTCGTTTCCTCTGTGAGGCAACGTGGGAGTGGGGAGTGGAAAGGGGTGCTCAGAACAGGGGAGGCGGGCTCTTGAGATACAGGGGGCCGGGAGCTCCCAGCAACAAAGCCCGTATCCTAAACAGGGCGACAGACAAACTCAGTACAGAACCTCTAACCCCTCACACGTGAGAGCATATGTGTAGACCAGCACCCACATACACCACACACAGACCACCTTGCACCAACTCGAGTGATGAACGGGCAGGCAGTCGTCCCTAAGGGAGAGGGTCCTGGGCAGAGGTTGGGGCGTGGTGCCGCTCGGGGCCCCGCATCTACCAGGTGGGGCTCTGTGTCCCCTGTAGCACCAAAGAGTACTCGGTGGTCCTCGGCACCTCTCAGCTGAACCCCCCGGGTCCCTGGAAGGCCGTCTCCATCCCCGTGAGGGACATCATCATGCACCCCAAGTACTGGGGCCGGACCTTCACCATGGGCGACCTTGCCCTTCTCCGGCTGCGCGCTCCCGCCGCCTTCAGCGAGCACGTGCAGCCCATCTGTCTCCCCGAGCCCACCTACGACCTGAAGATCGGGACGCAGTGCTGGGTGACCGGCTGGAGCCAGGCTAAGCAGCGCTTCTCAGGTGAGCGGGGCGGGGGCGGGGGCGGTTCGTTCCTCTGGGGCCTTGCCTGAGGGACGCCCCCTCCCACCGCGGTGCGTCTTTGGAAGCTCGAGGGGCTCCTGGTTCTGGGATGGGTTAGGACCACCCCTCACGTGGGGACCACGGTCCGTGGCTGCGGGCACCTCATCGGGCTCAGCCGTGCCTGGGCTGGGCAGGGTCGTTCGCCTCACGGGAGCTCACAGCCAAGGAGCCACACATTGACCCGCTCACCCGTGTGCTCACTTGAACTTCCAGCACCTGCCCCAGGCTGAACCCTCGGCGCTGGGGACACAGGCCCTGCCTGTCGGGAGCTCGTCCCTGAGTGTGTGTGTGGGGGGCACAGGCTGGCAGGGAAAGACGCTCTGACCAGGCGACCTTGGGCTGCAGCCGAGAGGGATCTGGGATGCGCTCTGGGTAGAGAGGGTCTGCCTGCGATGCCCGTGGGGACAGCGAGTTTGGTTCAGGTGGCGCGGGGCACGGCCAGTGCGGCGCTCAGGCCGGGCCGCAGCGATGTGTGCCGGGATCCCGGTGCGCCCGCAGTGGAGTGGCAGTCGGATTGCGGCCTGCGTGGTTCAGAAGCCCAAGCTTCCCAGAGAAAGGGACCCTGAAACGCAGCCTTGGGGGGTGAGGGGCTGGTCAGAGCTGGTTCTCGCGGCAGTGGGAGGGGCCCAGGAAGGAGAGCAAGGAGGCGTGAAGGGGCGGGGCCTGGCCGGGTCTCCAGGGTCCAGGCGTCAGGACACGGGGAAAGGCCGGGGCTGAGCGGAGCGAAGGGCCAGTTCCCACCCCGCTGGGCTCCTCCACAGCCAACTCCACGCTGACCCCAGAGCTGCAGGAGGCCGAGGTGTTCATCATGGACAACAAGAGGTGTGACCAGATTTACCGCAAGAAGTCCGTCATCCCCCGCGTTGTCCCCCTTGTCTTGGGGGACATGATCTGTGCCACCAATTACGGAGAAAACCTGTGCTATGTGAGTTTCAGGGAGGTTCGGGAGCTCTCCTTCCGCTGGGAGCCACGCCCAAGCGGGGGGAAGTTCCCGGGGGTGGGGGGTCTGCCTGGCCTCGCTCCTTGTCACCACCGCTGGGCAGTGAGTGCTCTGCTCCTGTCTTCCCTCCCCTGTGACCTGGATGTTCCTAGTATTCTGCAGTGGGGCCCCCAACCACGGAGCTGAAGGAGGACCCCAGGTAGCAAGAGCCTGAAGGGGTGAAACAGTCTTCCAAGCGGAATGGAGAGCATGGGCATTCTGGGCCCCCTGGGTCCCGGCGGGGCCCACAGCCTCCCGATCACTCCTCTGTCTTTGCCTAGGGGGACGTGGGAGGCCCGCTGGCTTGCGAAGTCGAGGACCGATGGATTCTGGCCGGGGTGTTGTCCTGGGAAAAGGCCTGCGCCAAAGCACAGAATCCGGGGGTGTACACACGCGTCACCAAATACAGCAGATGGATCAGGAATCACATGAGCAGCAGGGCTCCCTTGGGCCCCTGCACCTCTGTCGGGCTCCTCCTCCTGCCCTGGCTGCTGCAGCCCCCCACGGGCCCCTGACCTCCCCGCCCTCCTTCCTCCTGCTCTGCCTCTGCTGAGTGGAGCCAGATCAAGGTCAGACCAAGGCCACGTGTCGGTATTCAACAGGAGTCACGGTGGGGACAGAGCCACCCCTGGGACACCCGGTCCCAGCAGGGGGGGATGCGGTGCACGACCAGGCCTTGGCAGGCCCGGAGAAGGGAGGCGTGGCCCAGAACGGCTCTGGCTCTGGGGCCCAGAGCAGCAGGGATTAAATTTGTGCAAATGCGAGCTTGTTCTGTTCTCTTTTCTGGATGGCCCTGGTGATTGGGGGTGGCTGGGAGGGCAGGGCCTCCTGAAAATTAATTCTACCAGGTGGTCCCCCAGAGCGGCGGCTGATGGTTTTGCTCCATCACCAGCGCTGGGGCGCAGGGGGAGGGTTCGAGGCCTCAGTCCCCCCACCTGTGGCGTGGGCGTGCTGTGCGGAGGCCGTCGGAAAACTCGCTGTCAGCGGACAGCAGGGAGGACCCACGTACAGTGCTCCGCTCAGCTTCGACTTTTTCAACGGCATTTAAAAATACCGATTACAAAAGTATTACGTGTTCACGGCTACAGTTTTTTCTTTACATTAAAAAAAATTATAAGCAATATCTGAATACATTCCTGCGATTTACTTAAAAAAAATCAGACATACAGGTAAAGATTTCCTCCCCTTACCCACCCCACCACAATGCTGTTCCCTGACCAGAAGTAATCATGGGAAGCATCCTTAAATAACCTATCCTTATGATTTTAGGTAAATGAGTTTATACGTATGTCTTATTAATGACCCACATTTAAGGAAATTAGACGCCTTGAAAACCTGCGTCAGTACCGAAGGTGGTGCGTAGTTGGAGCCGACTGCCTGTGTTCTGTGCCAGGGGTCAGAGGTCACTTAACCTGCACGCTCTCAGGCCGCTTCTGACTTGTCAGCACAGCGGCCATCGGAACTCTCTCCCGCCTGCGCACGGTGCGGAGGGGGGCAGTCCAGGGAGACACACAGTTCATCACTTCGGATGAACACTATCAAGTTCACGTGTCCCCAGCACGGAACCCCTTTACCTTCACACCCATCGTATACGAGAATGAGTTTCCCCTGTTGCTAAAAGTGCATGTCACTGATCTTTAAAGCTCACGCCCACCCAATGGCCGAGAGTTATGCCATTGCTGTTGGAGTTTGCATTTTCTTGATTGGAAAAGTGTTTTCTCACGTGTGTATTGAAAAACACGTGTATCTTTTCTCCAGTGAATCCTCTGTTTCATATATTTTACCCGTTTTAAAATTTGGATTGCTTATCTTTTTGATGGGAGGTCTTCAGCTTTTCTGAATCTTAAGCCTTTGTCAATTTTACGAATATTTTCTCCAGTGAGCCACTGGTCTTTTAGAAATACGTGGAATGGATGGGTAATTTTTCCATAAAGACTTTAAAAATTATTGCAGAGTCACATGAGTCTTTGGTCACATTAGTCTTTTCTCTCTTTTTTAAAAAAAGATTTTATTTATTTTATTTTTAGAGAGGGAAGAGAGGGAGAAAGAAAGAGAGAGAGAGAGAAACATCAACATGCGGTTGCTGGGGGCCGTGGCCTGCAACCCAGGCATGTACCCTGATTGGGAATCAAACCTGCGACACTTTGGTTTGCAGCCCGTGCTCAATCCACTGAGCTACGCCAGCCAGGGCCCCATACATTTTTTTCTAATTCTACATGTGAAGTTTTTAAAAAAACATTGATGGATTTAAAAAAATAGTCATCTTGATTCCTGCCATCTTGCAAAACTGTCCTATTTCATGCATTAGTTCTTCACTGGACTGTCTTGGCTTGTTTTCTGGGTAACCAAGTTACCTAAAATGGTGACTGCTACATCTTGTCCTTTTTGGAAGCATATCATTTCTATTTCACTTGTTACCCCATCGCCGGAGACACCCGGCACACTGGGAAGTGGTGGCCATGACTCTGGGAGTTCGTGTGCGGGTCCTGACTTCATTCTTTCATTTACCCCACGGATATTTACTGGGAGTCTTCTCTGGGCCAGACACTGTCTGGGGCCCTGGTGACTCAATAGTGAACTATTAAGATGATTATATGGTTTTTCTTATTTATTCACATAGTATAATACATTACTGGATCTCAGCGGATTTCTCAGGAGAATCCTGTGGTACGCTGTGGATTCAGTTTGTGGCGTTTTGTTTAGAATTTTTGCCCCAGTGTTGGGTTGGCCTACAGTTTTCCATTTTGTTCCACCCTTTGTTCAGGTTTGGTGTCATTGCCGTGCTAGCCTCTTAAAACATGTTGAGATGTCTTCTAGTATCTTCCTACGGCCTAGAGCAGTGCCTATGACACCAGCATTGTTGGTACTTTAGGTTTGATAGGTTGTGCACATAAAACTCACTGGGCCTAGTGCCTTTTCTGAAAACCTATGACTGTTAAAAAGAAATCTTCAGCCCTGGCTGGCGTAGCTCAGTGGATTGAGCACGGGCTGCGAACCAAAGTGTTGCAAGCTCGATTCCCAGTCAGGGCACATGCCTGGGTTGCAGGCCATGACCCCCAGCAACCACACATTGATGTTTCTCTCTCTCTATCTCCCTCCCTTCCCTCTCTAAAAATAAATAAATAAAATCTTTTAAAAAAATCTTCTATGGTTATTGGCCAGCTGGGTTCTCCTACCTCTTTTTGCATTAATTTCAGTCTAGAAAATCACTTCATTTTTCTTAGATTTTAAAATTTCAAACTGAAGTATAAGATTTGAACCTGTGGCCCCTTTATTATTTCTAATATTATTTTTATGTGTACTCTCTCCCTCTTTTTTATTGATTCCAGAGAAAAAGGGAAGGGAGGGAGAAAGAGAGGGAGAGAAACATCGATGTGAGAGAGGAACATCTATCGTCTGTCTCTCGCATGTGCCCCGACCAGAAACCGAACCCGTAGTCCAGGCCTGGGCCTTGACTGGGAATCGAGGCCGAGACCCTTTGGGTTGTGAGATGACACCCAACCGACTGAGCCACTCTGGTTAGGGCTCTTTTTTCTTAAAGACAGAATCAGCGGATTTTGGTCTATTTCACAGGTGTTTTCAAAAAACCGTCCGGTGTGCTTTTGTCGGTCACCTTTTCGGCATCCACCCTGCCCTCATGTTACCCCAGGTTCTGGTGAGCAGCCCGCCGCCGCTGCCGTGCTGCTCCTGTGCTGCAGCGGAAGCGATCGCACGGCTGCTCCCGGGAGGGGCGGTGCACGGGCTTCCTGCAGAGGGCGTGGTCCAGCCCCCAGCCACCTGACCTCAGCGGGTTGTCCCAGTCAGCGTCAGGCACGGCTGCAGCAGAGCCACAGGCCCTCCCTCTGCACGTGAAGGAGGCGGCAGAAGCAGGTGGGCTGTTGGCAGACATTTTTCAACAAGGGGACCAAGTCAGAGTGCAGCTGCCGCCACTGAAGAGAAGAGACAGAAAGTGAGGCCTGTTTGAGTGGAAGTTTCTCTTGCTTAGGCGCTCCTGAATGGTACAAACTAACTTCTGGTTTTAGTGATCAAACCTGCTCCTGTTTGTTCATTTTATTTCATTAAAGATCATTTAGATTTAGTAATTCCAAGCTTTTAATTTTTAAAAAATACTTTAAAAAAAGTGTCCCAGTTTCGATTCCCAGCCAGGGTACATGCCTGGGTTGCAGGCCATGACCCCCAGCAACCGCACATTGATGTTTCTCTCTCTCTCTCTCCCCCTCCCTTCCCTCTCTAAAAATAAATAAATAAAACCTTTAAAAAAAAGAAATGGTTATTAAAAAATATTTTTAAAAAGATTTTACTTATATATTTTTAGAGAGAGGGGAAGGGAAGGAGAAAGAGAGGGAGCGACATATCAATGTGTGATTGCCTCTCGCACCCCCTACTGGAGACCTGGCCTGCACCCCGAGCATGAGCCCTGACTGGGAATTGAACCTGTGACCCTTTGCAGGCCTGTGCTCAATCCACCGAGCTACACCAGCCAGGGCCTAAGCTTTTACTTTTGAGAGATTTATTTTATTGTTCTTTTTCTAACTTCTTGAGTATGCTTAGTTCATTATTATAGACTTCTTTGGTTTCTAATATTTTCACTTAATCCCATAAAATTCCCTCTGAGTCTTACTTTGGCCATATTTCATAGGATTTGATGTGTACTGACCTCATTGTCTTTCATTTTTATATTTTTTAATTCCATACTATATTTCTTATTTAACCCAAGAGTTAAATAGAGGGGTATTATTTAATTTCCTGATGGATAATTTGGGGGAAGGGTAGAAGCTTCTCCTTTTTCTCTATTAAAGATCATATCACAATATGGACTTAATTATTTTTGCATTTTGGAGCTGACTGAGGTTTAATTTGTGCCTATTACCTGGGCGTTTGAGACAAAAGTGTTGCATGTTGTGAAACGGAGTCCTAGCTACAAGCTGATAGGATCAGGCATGTCGGTTGTGTTACCCGAACCCTCTCAACACTTCCAATATTTTATGTCTGTGTAATCCGCTGGCTTCTGCGAGGTTTACCACAGGAATTAAAACTTTGTCTATTTCTTCTTGCAGTGATAATAATTCTTGCTTTATGTTTCAAAGCTGTGCCATCAGGAGAGCAGAGTTTATGCCTGCTGCACCATCTTGGGGGGGGGTATGCCCTATCAACATACCGTATGCCTTTGTCCTATTTAATACATGTTTTTTCAAAGATCTGGCTCATCTCAGAGTTCATTTCTAGTTCTGCTGTTCAAATGGATTAGGGTATAATTTTATATTTTGTACATGTTTCCTGCAGATTTTTCCTGGGTTTATTCTGTACCTTTTATAGTTCCTTGATTTGAGCATTTCATTCATTGACTTTCATTTTTGATATTCAATAATAAATACCTTCAAGGTTATGGATTTGCTTTGAACACATCCAATAAGTTTTTTTAATATATATTTTATTGATTATGCTATTACAGTTGTCCCATTTCCCCCTTCACTCCCCTCCACCCTGTGCACCCTCTTCCACCCACATTCCCCCTCCTTTAGTTCATGTCCATGTGTCATGCTTATAAGTTCTTCAGCTTCTACATTTCCCATACTATTCTTACCCTCCCCCTATCTATTTTCAACCTACATTCTATGCTACTTATTCCCTGTACCTTTCCCCCTCTCTCCTCCTCCCACTCCCCTATTGCTATCCCTCCATGTGATCTCCATTTCTGTG